TGTTCACCCAAAATTCCAGTAAGGTTTTCAGACATTGTTGCCATAACCTTCCCACTATAGCCAGACATTTTGATACATTTGCTGCAAGAACCCATTGATTTTAATGGGACTACCTTGAAGTAAATGTATCACGGCCTTATGAAGAGTGTGCTAAAATCAGAACTGTATGTACATGGCAGATATCCAGTCATCCTGAGCATTGGCAACAATTCAATGCCATTGATAAAACAGTATAAAACATTAAAATTGACACTGGTGGTGCAATACCGGCTAAACAGTGTAATTTCTCCATTGTTGTAGGGCGCAGGCACCCTGTGATAATGCAGCATGTCTCATTAAGAGCCACATCTACTGTTTTAGTGTGGTGAGATATGTTCCACACTGGGCATGCATACTCAGCAGCAGAGTAGCAAAACACAAAGGCAGATGTCTTCACTGTGTCTGGTTGTGATCCCCAGGTTGTGCCAGTCAGCTTTTGTATGATATTGTTTCTAGTGCCCACTTTTTGCTTAATATTGAGGCAGAGCTTCTTGTAGGTTAGAGCACAGTCCAGAGTGACTCCCAGGTATTTGGGTGCGCTGCAATGCTCCAGTGGGATTCCTTCCCAGGTAATCCTCAGAGCTCAGGATGCTTGTCTGTTCTTAAGGTGAAAAGCACATGTCTGTGTTTTAGATGGATTAGGGATCAGCTGGTTTTCCCTGTAATAGGCAGTAAGAGCACCTAGAGCTTCGGAGAGCTTCTGTTCAACCATTTCAAAGCTATGTATTGTCGAAGGCTTTCATGGCTGGAATTACTAGGTTCTTGTGGGTTTTTTCAGGCTATAGAGCCATGTTCTAGAGGCATTTCTCCTGACGTTTCACCTGCATCTATGGCAAGCATCCTCAGAGGTTGAGAAGGTCTGTTGGAAGTAGGAAAAATGGGCTTATATATCTGTGGAATGGCTGGGGTGGGGTCATGATCAATGGCATTTCAAAGCTCCCTGCTTGAGCGGTAATGGCACGATCATTGGCATAGATGAAACTCTCTGTCCCTTCTGGCAGTGGCTGGTCATTTGTGTAAATGTTAAACATTGAAGGTGCAAGCACGCTCCCCTGAGGCAGGCCGTTCTTCTGTTTTTGTCATTTGCTTCTCTAGCCCTGGAACTCAACAAAAAAGCTCCTGTTTTGTAGCAGTTTGAGGCAGGTGAGATGATAGTCCTTTGTAATATTATACATTTTTCTCAGGAGGAGGCGGTGGTTTGAAGTATCATAAGCCGCTGACAGGTCTAGTATTGTATTAGTATTGGATGATGATGATGGTGATGACGATGATGATGATGGTGATGATGATACTAGCTTCTTTTACAGCCTTCCCCCCAAAACTTGCAAATTAAAAATATAATACAGTTAAGATATGGCAACAGCCATAGGTACTGAATTTCACCAATACAAATTAGGGCATATTTTGCTTCAGTTCATTTCAAAATAATTTACCCAAAATTACAAATTTCTTCATATTTTGGAAGGATATAATCTCAGGTAGGTTTTTAAAAAAATGAAAAATGTAGGAGAAAGTGAAACTGACAAGTTTCATCCATCCTTTGCTACTGTTCTTGTATGTTCTCAAGTCAACTCTGACTTATGGTGATCCTCTCAAAGGTTTATTAAGGTTATTCAGAGGACGTTTCTCAGGCCCCTTCTACACTGCCATATAATACAGCTCAAAACAGATAATCTTTGAACAAAACCAAACCCAATCCAACTAATTCAACGTGGACCTCCTAGCTAAGAGTTCAAGTCTATACAGAATAGTTACACCTGTAAGACCTTACTTATGCAACCATAAATTGACTAAGTTTGTTGCATGGTAGATCTAAAACTATGTGTAATGTACATGAATACATTATTATTATTATTATTATTATTATTATTATTATTATTATGCCTTTCTCCCCATAGGGACTCAAGACAGCTAATATTAACATGACACAGCGCAATAAAATTTTAAAACATGGCAAACACAAAAATTGAAAAACAATTAAATATTTTTGTCATGAATACAAGTTGAAATAAATTTATGGTACAATAAAATACAATTAACATTACATTTAAAACTAATAATAACTTTGGAAAGCAGAACCCTGTTGGTACATGATACCAATAGAATTCTGACCAACTTCTCCAACCCATAGGACATAGAAAGGTCTTCACACTTTATATGAGGACATCATTTGGATAGACTGGCCTCAAGGAAGATGCCAAACATACAGTAGCCTGCTTTTCCTGTAACAGCTGTTCCTCCAGACAAAGGAAAATTCTGACTTGTTTTGCAACATGTTCCGTTATGATCCAGTTTTGCTGACATATGGAACATGCCTCATTACACCCTACACGCCCCCCCCCCCCATCACAAAATGGTTTGTACTGCATTTCGTGATTGCTTGAATTCTTCAGGGAATGTGTAGATAGGGGTTCTGTGTAAGGAAGCTGGTGTGAATACTACTGGTGCAAGCTCAACTAGATCTCCTCCTTCCTTAGAGGCCAGCCATATCCCAGGATTAGATGTGGCCTCCTGAGTTACTGAGATGGGCCTGCAAAGGGTTAGAAGCTAGAAGCTTGAATTACTATAACTGATTGGCTGATAGAAAAGACTGCTAATGGAAGCATTTGCAAACACCCAAGCTTGAACTCCCTGTTTTATTAACTATCATCACATTGTACTGTATTGCGCTATTATTCCATTTTGTTATTCCATCCCATAAAATTGTGGGGTTTGTAGTTTATTGATCCTGAAGAACTCTCTGGTGCATCTACACTGTAGAATGAATGAAGTTTTACCACACTTTAACTGCCATGGCTCAATGCTATGGAATCACAAGGGTTGAAGTTTTACAAGCTCTTTAGTCTTCTCTGCCAAAAAAGGCCATTGCCTCACCCAACTGCGACTTCCAGGATTCCATAACAGAAGAAGAAAAAGGAAGGGGGGGGGCACCCAGCTCAACTCCTTTCTGCCTGCCATGCAGGAATGCACACAATTATTATTTTGATTATTATTCACTGTAGATCAGAGCTTTCCAAACATTTTGTGTGGGTGGCACACATTTTACACATGCATTATTTTGTGACGTTTTATTAGCAATCCAGAGGTTCCCAGGCATGAGTGAACATTGGCCCTCCTGAACTTCAACTCCCACAATTCCTAACAGCCAGTAAACTGACTGGGATTCCTGGGAGTTGAGGTCCAAAACACCTGGAGGGCTGAAGTTTGCCCATGTCTGGACTGTTAAACCAACACCTTATAGGTAATATGTACACATACACAAATTGCAATAACAAAATGCATAGGAATGAAACATATATCATTAAAATATTATTATTATTATTAAGCTTTATTTGTACCCCACCTTTCATTTAGATTTCATATCCCTTATGGATAATAGTGTCAAATTGCATTAATTGTTGTGAGCCGCTTCGAGTCTCCTCAGGAAGATGGAGCAGGATACATATATGCTGGTTTTTTTATTGGATTGCACATCGGACACTTCCCAAGTGTCTAGGAATGTGTGATGTATTGGTGAATAATGTGTGCAGATCCAAGTAGGGTGGCCTTTTGCAGCTGACAGTTGGTAATTTTGTCAGCACCATTTTTTTAAGTGTAAACCAAGGTCTTTAGGCACTGCACCCAGTGTGCCAGTCACCACTGGGACTACCTTGACTGGCTTGTGCCAGAGTCTTTGCACTTCGATTTTTCAAATCCTCATATCATGTAAGCTTTTCCAGTTGCTTTTCATCAATTCTGCTGTTGCCTGGGATTGCAACATCAATGATCCATCCTTTTTTTCCTCCCACAATCATGAAGCCAGGAGTATTGTGCTCCAAAACTCTGTCAGTCTGAATTTGGAAGTCCCAGAGTAGTTTGATGTGTTCGTTTTCCGTAACCTTTTCAGGCTTGTGATCCCACCAGTTCTTTGTCACAGGCAGATAGTATCTGTGGCACAAGTTCCAGTGGATCACCTGAGCAACAGTATTATGTCTCTGCTTGTAGTCCATCTGCTCGATTTCCTTGCAGCAGTTGAGGATGTGATTCACCCTTCCATCTGCTTCCTTGCATAGTCTACACTTGGAAACTATCATGGACTTTTCAATTCTGACTTTGATGACATTGGTTCCAATGGCTTGTTCTTGGGCTGCAAGAATCAGGTCCTCCGTCTCCTTTATCAAAGTTTCATTTGCTAGGTTGCTAGAAGCTGAGGTGGACCCGCTCCTTGGATTCAAATGGTCAACCCTTAGGTCGGCAAGTTCAGCAGCTCAGCAGTTTATTTTATATATATAAATTATATATATATTATAAATTATATATATATTATAAATTATATATATATTATAAATTATATATTTTTAAAACACAGTAGAGTCTCCCTTATCCAGCCTTCACTCATCCAGAGTTTTGTATTATCTAATGCCGTCTGCCTTCCACCCTGACAATTTGTTGTAAAACATGATGTTTTGGTGCTTAATTTGTAAAATCATAACGTAATTTGACGTTTGATAGGCTTTTCCTTAATCCCTCATTATTATCCAACATTTTCGCTTATCCAACATTCTGCTGCCCGTTTATGTTGGAAAAACAATACTGTATACAGTATAATATAAAATAAATAGTATATTATATTTTTTAAAATATATGTTTTTTAAGGTAATGACATATATTTCCAATTTTTATCATTACTTGTTACGTCCCTGAGAGGCAAATTGACACTACAGCGACACAGGCACGTTTGGAAAGCTCTGGTGTACATGATGATGATGATGATGATGATGATGATGATCTGGAGTCAACTGGAGGGCCTCTTTTGGGGGTCTCCCTGGAGGGTCGTGCTGTAGGCGCAGGGGAGATGCGGCTTTGGGTTGGGGGCCGGCCCCTCCTCCTCCTCCCCTCCCTCCTCCCCTCCGTCCTGCCCGCACCCACCCAGGGCCCGCCTCCCCCAGATAAACGCCCGAGGCGCCCTCCCCGTCGGCTTTCCCGGCGAGAGCGCGGCATCGAGGAGGGGCGCCTCCCGGGAGGCCATGTCCACGGGCTCCCTGAGCGATGCCGAGGGGGAGATGCTGGCCTGCGAGGAGGAAGAGGAGGAGGAGGAGGAGGAAGAGGAGGAGGAGGGGGCCCTGAAGGCCAGGCAGCCCCCTGCGGCCCCTCTGCCTCCCCCTCCGGCTGCTCCCCCCGGCAAAGCGGCGGCGGCGGCGGGGGGCAAGGCGCGGAGGAAGGCTTCCTCGGGGTCCGGCAAGCGGGGCGGCGCGCACTTGGGGGGCGCTGCGGAGGGCAAGCAGGTCCAGCGGCACGCCGCCAACGCCCGGGAGCGGGCCCGCATGCGGGTGCTGAGCAAGGCCTTCTCCCGGCTCAAGACCACGCTGCCCTGGGTGCCCCCCGACACCAAGCTCTCCAAGCTGGACACCCTCCGCCTGGCCTCCAGCTACATCGCCCACCTCCGCCAGATCCTGGCCAGCGACAAGTACGAGAACGGGTACAGTCACCCCGTCAACCTGGTGAGTTGGGCTGAGGGGAGGGCCTGCCATCGACACCTTTGGTGCCAGGCGGTGGGGTTTGTCCTTTGGGGAGGCAGCACCCAACGCCAAAGGCTGTTGAGCCAGGGCACTTGCAAGTGGTGGCCAACCTCAGTGTGGGTGCTGCCCGTTGGGAGCCTTTCAGTCCTTTCCACTCCTCCAGAGAGGATAGAGAGGCGTGGGCAACCAAGCCGTGTTCTCTCAATCCGTGTGTCCAAAGAGGCCTTCTCAAAGTCTCCTTCCTTGGTTGCATCTCTAGTGTAGAATGAAGGCAGTTTGAACTGCCCCCGGTGGGTTAAACCCTTGAGCTGCTAAACTTGCTAACCGAAAGGTCGCAGGTTCGAATCCGTGGAGCGGCGTGAGCTCCCCCTGTCAGCCCCAGCTTCTGCCAGCCTAGCAGTTCGAAAACATGCAAATGCGAGTAGAGCAATAGGTACCGCTCCGACGGGAAGGTTTAGGGCGCTTCATGCAGTCATGCCGGCCGCATAACCTTGGAGGTGTCTACTTGCAACGCCGGCTCTTCGGCTTAGAAATCGAGCACCAGCACCCAGAATCGGACAAGACTGGACTTAATGTCAGAGAAAACCTTTACCTTTACCTTTACCTTAAACTGCCCTGGCTCAATGCTATGGAATCGTGGGGAGTTGTAGTTTGACAAGGTCTTTCTGCCGGGATTTCTCTCCACTTGAGAGCCCTTTCGGTGCGTCAAAGAGGAAAAGGAGAAAGAGGGGGCTTGGTCATGGTGGGGCGCTTTGGAGGCATTTCTGAATGAGGGAGGGTTTCTTCCCAGAGACAGGCATTTACCCCCCGAAATTCTCATGGTGGTCTGCAAAAAGGCCTTACTGGTACATTATTTAAACTGTTATGCTTATTCATATCATGATCTGATCACCATGCTCAATATATCCCATATGCATGGGGGTGTTGGGGTAATGATACAAAAGGTTTGCTAGGCTAGACCCTCTTTCACTCAGACTCAGCCCCCCCCTCAAACTCAGCCCCCCCCCAATCAAAATCCTGGCTACGGGCCTGCCCAGAGACGTTGCCTTCGCCTTCCTCTGAGGTTGAGAGGGTGTGCCTTGCGTGAGTTTTCCTCCTCATGGCCGAAGGGGGATTTGAACTGGGGTCATTTGGGGTGCGTCTGCACATGAACACAGAGTTGGGAAAGACCCCAGAGGCCATCCAATCCTTCCCCTTGCCATGCGGGAAGGTAAAGGTAAAGGTAAAGGTAAAAGTTTTCCCCTGACATGAAGTCTAGTCGTGTCTGACTCTGGGGGCTGGTGCTCACCTCCATTTCTAAGCCGATGAGCCGGCGTTGTCCGTAGACAGCTCCAAGGTGATGTGGCCGGCATGACTGCCTGGAGCGCCGTTACGGGAAACGCACCATCAAATACACTGCAGGATGAATGCAGTTTGAGAGCGCGTCACCTGTTATAACTGGATGCTATGGAAGCTTGGGAAGTTGTACTTGAGCCTTCTCCTTGGCAGAGAAGGAGTGGCATCACCAAACTGCAACTTCCATAACTGCATAGAGCGGTGGCACTTCGAGTCGTGCCAAAGTGCATTTAGTCCACCGTGTAGATGCAGCCCTAGGAGAGGAACCTCATCACACTAGAGAATGAATCCACGTTAAATCCGGTTTCTGCCTCCGGAATTCTGCAGGAGGCAGAAACCGGATTTAAAGTGGATTCATTGTCTAATGTGATTAGGTAAGTCCAACGCTGAAAAGGCGAGATTTGTCGGAGAAATCTTGTCATTTTGGCCCAGGGCTTTGGCGCCTACTCCAAGGCTCTGGAATCTGTAGTGAACTTTCCTGGAAAGCAGGATTTATTTCCCCCGTCTCTTTCTTTCTCCGAGGGCCCTTCCACACAGCCCTATATCCCAGAATATCAGGGCAGAAAATCCTACCTTATTTGAGTGTGGCCTCAGATAACCCAGTTCAAAGGTATTCTGAGATATAAGGCTGTGTGGAATGGCCCTCAGCCTCCCTTCTCCTTCTCTTCCTGTTTTCAAAAACAGAGCTCCCAGGCTGATTAAAGGAACTTCAGGACTGTTTCGCCCGCAACCTTTCAAACATGGGGACTAATTCGCCTTAAGCAGGTCATGGTTAGGGTCGTTGGACAACCATCAGGGTTTGGAGCCTTACTCGGCCTGGAAACCCATTGGGTGACCTCAGACTTATTATCACAGTAGAGAATAAATCCACTTTAAATCCGGTTTCTGCCTCCTGCAGAATTCTGGGGTTTGTAGTTTAGTGAGGCTGTCAAAGGCTCCTCCGGATTTAAGATGGATTCATTCTCTAGTGTGATGAGGTCTTAAAGAAAAAACAACAACCCCATGATAGGTTCATGTTAAGGTCGCCGTAAGTGGGAAACGACTTGAAGGCATACCGCAATTCCTAAAGATCTGAGCTTGTTTATTAGAGGCTTTGGTTTAAAACAACAACCACCACCCAGTACGGAATCGATACCTTTCAAGATTTGGAAACTGGGCACCACTCTTCCAAGTAGCGTTGCCACCCGTTTAGTATGAATCCAAGGGCGGAGGGAGACTGCTCTGATGAAATGCACTTAGTCTAACTTCATCACACTAGAGGAAAAAAATCCACTTAAAATCCTCTTTCTGCCTCCTGCAAAATTCTGGGGTTTGTAGTTTAGGGAGGAGTCTTTAACAGCCTCACTAAACTACAAAACCCAGAATTCTTCAGGAGGCAGAAACCGGATTTTAAGTGGATTCATTCTCTAGTGTGATGTTTGATCTGAAGGAAGGGAGAGCTCTGGTGAACAGGGAGGTCCTGGATCTGGTTTGCCCAAGAGAAAACCCAAAAGACGGGACTTAATCGTTTTGCTTGCCTTTTAATTCCAAGATACTGGCATAATAATAATAATAACAACAACAACAACAACAACAACAACAATAATAATAATAAAAATTATAACAATAATGAATCAATACAACAGCCAGCAGAGTGTCTGCTGTGGACCCATCTTGTTGTGTTTCTAATAATAATAATAATAATAATAATAATAATAATAATAATAATAATAATATGCTTGAAATGTAAGCCGATGCCAAACTACCTCGAGGTTTAAAAGAAGGACGAGCAGCCTTTCCTTTCGTTGGGTTTTGAACCACCCAAATGCGTTTCTGTAAATGATAACTGAATTGAAGAAAGGGGTCCCAAATGGGAGTGAAGGCACCTCTTCAAATTGATGGCCCCTTTCCCTCCTTCGATCTGATATTTGGCCCTCTTGGAAGGTATGAGAACTTCCAAGACTTTTTTCTTCATTCCAGGAGATTTTGATATGTTGGGAGTTTGTAAAGAAAACAAAATCATTTGTATGTATTTGGTTCACTTGATCTTTCCCCCCACTGACTGGATAATAAAGATGAAAACGTTTGGCATCCCTTTTTAGGCCCGAAAACAAATAAAAAGGTTTATTCTTTTTCAAGGGGAATAAAAAGAAAAGAATCTAGACTTATTAAGTCCCTTCCACACAGCTGAATCAAATCCCACAATATCTGCTTTGAACTGGCAGTATGGACTCAGATAACCCAGTTCAAAGTTGTGGGTTATATGGCTGTGTGGAAGGGCCCTTAGTGAAATAAAGTCTAGAATGGCTGTTTGAGCCCAAAGCCTTTAATTCTAAGTAAGGATTGAAAACATAATTTCCGTTGTCATAAATGGTTGGAACTCTATTTAAAAAAATTCATGTCAGGAGCAACTTGAGAAATTCTTAAAAATGAGAAGGTTCACTCATTGAGTCTGGCTGTTGTCTTCTTTTTTAAAATAATCACAATAATAACATTATTAATCTAAATTAGTTGTGTAACAATTGATAAAAATAACAATCTTGAAGATGTTGCTTAAAATTCCAATGAGCTGTCAAAATAAAAATGGATTAGACAGCAAATAGAAAATAAGAGAAATAAAATATATTCCAATTGATTGATATTTTAAAAATATAGTTTGTGACAGAGCTGCTCTATCTTGATCATCTTGTTACTGTAGAATTATAAACATTGCTTTTAAACCATTTTATAAGTTTCTGAAAGGCAAAGTCACAACAACAATAACATTTATCATAGACCCATCAGGGAACAAATAATTGTTAAATACTTACAATGTCACAGTTATTAGACTATCTGGGAAATTAGTGACAGTTTTCACAGAACAGAAAAAAGAACCAAAAAATGTCCAGGCAGTTTAAAAAATATAAATTAAATATAAGTATCTATATTTTTAAAAATCATTTGGTTTCTTTTCCAAAAGAATGAAATGGTAATCTTTAGTAATAACATTATGCATTCATTCTGATCATCTAACATGTGTCTGAACTCAATGGAACTTTTGGACAAATCTGAGCCATAGTATGTCGTAGATGAGAAACTAAATCTCCAATTCTGAAATGCTTTTAGAAAGAGATAGCACTCTTATCATTTTCAAAACAAAGCAGACATGGAGGGGGAGCTGTGCCTTGACATTACCCAGTGGAGAATGGATAGGGTCGGGGTTTCACCCTTCCCTTGTCTGTGTGTCACAGTATGCCTTTGTCAGTTGTGTTGTTTAGCTTGGGCAAATATTTTCAATCAAAGGGGGGGGGATGACAAAATGAAACCGTTGTCCCCCAAATAGGAATTCTACCCGAGCCATGAAATGTTTCTTCAGTCTCCAAATAGCTAGGATTGCAGAGAATGAGATTTTGGAAAATGGTTAACACTTTAGGTTTGGTAATTTTGCCTTTTTTGTGGATGCTAAACTATATTTCTAGATGAAGTTGTAATTTACTGCTAAATTACAAATTTGGGAACTGAAAGGAAATTTCACAGAGGAGGTATTCTTATTACAGGGAACACTTCTTTTGTTTTACACCACCCTAGTAACTTACACCCCTGAACAAAGGTGATCTGTGTTAGTATCGGAGATTTTTTTTTCCATGTCAGGAGTGACTTGAGAAACTGCAAGTCGTTTCTGGTGTGAAAGAATTGGCTGTCTGCAAGGTCGTTGCCCAGGGGATGCCCAGATGTTTTGATGTTTTACCATCTTTGTTGGAGGCTTCTCTCATGTCCCTGCATGGAGAGCTGGAGCTGAGAGAGGGAGCTTAACCCACTCTCCCCAGATTCAGATCCTAGCGATCAGCAGTCCTGTTGGCGCACCAGGGCTCCAGTATCAGAGATGAAGAAAGTATTATTTATTTATTTATTTATTTCAAATTTTTGTACCCCGCCCTTTGAGGGGGGAGGGCTCAGGGTGGCTATATGTAATATCCAGCCAGGGTGGCTATATGTAATAGTTATGTGTAGTATCTGGAGCAATGGGAGATGAAGAAAGCACAATCCATTGCTCCAGATATTACAGATAACTATGATAAGAGAGAGAGTGAGAGAAGAAATGCATTCACACAATGCAAGAAAATGCAGATAAAAAAACTTTATGATTGTGTGGCGACTGTGTAGTTCAGTGGAGCCATCTTAAAAACCTGGTTACACTCAGTAGCTGAGACTGTCTGCTTGAACCACTTCTATGCATTGTTTAAAAAGAACACCTGGGCAGTCTATGAAATTCTGGCAGTTGGCTTCATTTATCACACGTTCAAGTGCTACACTATTTGAAGTGCTGATTTTTTCCCCCTCTCTCTTTCCCATCCTTTTTTCTCCATTCCACCCCTTTGCAGACTTGGCCCTTCATGGTTGCTGGCAAACCAGAGAATGAGCTGAAAGAAGCAGTGAACACTGCCCGGTTGTGTGGTCCCACAGCATCCTGACCCAGGATTTTTAAACATAGGAAAGCCAGCCATCTGTGTATATGTGCAGGTGTTTCTGCATGCCTATGTACTGGCGTGTATGTATGAAGGGGGGCAGTCAGGAAACAAACAACAAGATTGCTTTCCCACGAAAGAACCCAAACGTTGAAGACACGACCAAATGCATCATATGCCAAAGTGCGAGAGGAACAATCTAGCATCCCAAAGAGCGTATATTTAACTTTATTAACTTGTACATATTTGAATGTCCCACAACCGTGCCTTGCTGGTTCAAGTGCTGTGATCTCTCTCCAACCAGACATTTGTCACCATCTGCCTTTGAAAGACAGATTCCTAGAATCAATTATTCTCATAGTCACCTTTCTCTAAAAAAAATAATTCACATTAAAGATAACACTATGGATATATTTCCATCAGACAGGGTTTCTTATATTTTCACGTGAACAATAACCTAAAGGCCCCTTCATATGAAAAGAAACAACAAATAATAATGATGGTGTGAGTTTCCTTTGATTTGTTCAAAATGAAGATTATTTATTTTCAATTTTGCTAGAGAGGGTGATGATATTGGTACAACTACACATCTTGAAGCCCCACAGAGCCTGATAGTGTCAAATCATTTGACCCCAGTTTATGAAATGTTTATTTTCTTAATTAAGGAGACGTAGACCATGTCCTTTTCGGGGAGGGTGGTTTAGCAGACTAGAAAAACAATATAGAGTGGCCCCTATACACAGAAAAAAGAAGGGAAGGGAAAGAAAAAGATATGCAATGCATTTTATGGGGAGTTGGATGGATTGTGGAATTGTTAGTGCAATTCACTGTTTTGTGAAATTAGTAATTCAATCTTCAGTCTCACTAGATAAACTTTGTAATGGAGGGAGATCTAAGATTCATTTGTTGCTTGTGCGGTCATTCTGCCTTGTCTCGAGTCTCAAACTTGGAGTTTTTATGTGAAATTGAAATGTTTCCTTTGTTCTTTTGTAATCTATCCTTTTTCCTTGCAAAATATTATTAGAATGATAAAATCATATAGTGGGAAGAGACCACAACCATTCTGGAGGAAAGTTTGCAAAGGGATCTTGTAGCATCTGAGAGAGAACAAAGGTTGTAACATAAGATTTCATAGATTAATGCAATTCCTTCGATGTCTTTGAATAGCTGTATGATCCTTTTAGCCTAGTAGGAGTTAGAGTAGCTCATCTGGAAGTACCCAGAGTGTTCACAGGACAAATTAATTTATTCTTATTTGCCAGGCCGGGGGGGGGGGGGGTAGTAGTGCCACCAACTGATTTCAATGGGATTTACTGCCAAGAAGTTTCAACCATGTTTTGGCTTCATTCAATCCAGTGGGTTATTCATAACAGCTGATTGTAAATAAATACAACTTGAGCCTCTTCTTCACTGCCCTATATCCCAGGATCTGATCCCAGATTATCTGCTTTGCACTGGATTATAGGAGTCTCCAATGACAGATAATCTGGGATCAGACCCTAGGATACAGGAACAGAGTAAAAGGGGCCTAAGGCCCTTCTACACTGCCATGTAAAATCCAGATTATTTGTTTTAAACTGGATTATATGGCAGTGAACTCATATAATCCAATGCAAAACAGATAATTTGGGTTATCTGCTTTGATAATCTGGATTATATGGCAGCGTAGAAGGGGCCTAAATTACTAAAATCAGTACTCTCTCGTTTTTTGGGAGTACAACTCCCATCAGTCCTAGCCTGCATTTGTCAAATATGATAGATTTTATCAAGAGGCTCCTCTGTTGTTGGAGATGGGATTATATGTGCATATAAAACATATGAAGATAGGAACTCTGTGTGTGTTTGTGTAACCTAGCAATCTTGTTGGCTAAGTTGTGAGTCTGCCTGCTATAGTTTGGGGTGGTTTTTATAAAACTAATTTATGAATTGTCTCATGTGTTTAAAATGGTATCTCAATTCAGTCATTTGGAATCCAGTGAGAATATTTTAACGAACAAGTTATTTGAGGCAATAAGCATTTGGACAGAAATACTAAACACATTGCCTGACATCCACTGAAGGTGTTGCCTTAATGATGACATTTGTCCATCTGGGCATCTGATTTAAAAAGCAATGGTATGAGAAAAAATAGTTTGGTGATTGCTCTCAATTTTAAACTGTAGCACCTTTGCAGGATCTATTGGCTTGGCACACAGTTTTATATTCAGAAAAAATGATGTAGGAATTTTGGAGTCTTGTTTTGTTATTTCCTTGTGTAATGACTACAATTGTAAGGCAGAATTTGGACAAGAGATCTTCCAGAATTTTCTACCACAATTCTCTCCAGATTGGATTGGATTATGTATGTACAATATTTGTGCTTTCTACTCTGTGCATGACTGTATCATTGAAACCCTGTTTTCATACGTGTGACATGTTAAATTATATATATTTTTGTATAGATCAAATTACAATACAGCAATAATTTCTGTATAAAATACTGTTTAATTTCTTAAAAGGCTTGGGAACTCCAATATGTCTGTATATTCCCATGACCTAGAAAGAGTAATTGTGATTGTTCTGGGATGGTGGGATGATATGCTCAAATGAATTCCGTTCTTCATTTTATTCAATGGCATCTTTGATTTTGGGAGCAAGTTTTGGAGCTGTGGACCAAGGGACGCTCTTTACCCAGTGACAAAGACTGGATGCAATGATACTTCCAGAAAGTCCCTCATTGCATCAATCTGCAGCCCTCCAGATGTTTTGGATAATTCCAATAATCCCAGATAACTGGCCGTGATGTTTGAGTCTATAGGACAGTATAGTTCAACACATCTGGAAGTTACCAGTTCTGTGTTATATGGTGGCGGAACCAGCGGAAATATCTTAAGGAGTATAGAGTGCTGATGAAGTGGGAATTCTTTGCAAGGGAGGGATAGCCTTGCTTGGTTCACCCTACGGTGGCTTCTTAATTTAAACATCTTTTTCTCTATTGATCTGATTTGTTACTCTGTGAGAGATTAAGCTGAGAGATAAACAGAAAGTGCTTGGCTCTTTCTCTTGAACCAGCTCAGTCCAGAGGCAGCTGATGCGCCAGATCCCAGAGAAACTGTTTAACGTTTCAAGGTTATGACCGCACTGTTTACAAGATGTCTTCAGTTATTTATACTGTTATTCCCAACAGAGGGGCTTTAAATTTCCGCTTCACTTACTATTTCTCTCTCTGCCTTTCTGGGAGGGTGTCTGTGTTTCTATTCCATTCAATGCAATACCTGGGTGTTTTGAGGCATTTTCCTTTGGGGAAAGAAAGGGGCTTGTGGTAACATTCCCAAGGAACAAATCCATGCTGAAAGTAAATGCTGATTAGGAAATGTACAGAAATCCAGCAGAAGATAAGTAAGAAAACAGAAGGATGTTTTAGAGAAACATGGTAGCACAGGAAGACATGCTTAAGATTCCTCAAGCTGCATCAAGAATTGTCCATCCGCATCTTCCAAACCAATAAACTAACAGTACAACCCTGTATGTGTTAACTTAGAAGTAAGTCCCACTGAGTTCAAGGTGGTTATGTTTCCTAATAAGTGTGTCCAGAACTGAAACACGATTGTGGCAAAGCCCTCATCGGCCAGGATATATAAACAGTTCTAATTGAAATCTATATAAATAAAAATGTAATGTTCATTTGTGGGATTAACATAACTCAAAAACCACTGGATGAATTGACACCAAATTTGGACAGAATACACCTATCAGGCCAATGAGTGACAATCACTCACAAACATACTGAAAAACACAGAGGAAGGGACTTAAAAGCCAAAAATCAAAAAAACACTACAGCACATGCGCAAAAACGACTCCCCCTGGCAAACAAAACACACAATAGTATATCCACTCTCACTTCCGGACTTCAGCTCCCAGCATCCCCTAGACCAGGCCCTTTAGGAGAGGAGGATGATTCAAAAGCACTGCTTCCAAGATGGAAGCTTTCTTCTCCTTGGATTTCTTTGAGAGCATCCCAATCCCTGCATATTTCCAATTTCCTATTCCTGGACTGCAACTCCCAGCAATCCTCCAGATAGATAGATTAGATAGAGATAGGAAGGTAGATCGATCAGGAGGACTGCTGGGAGTTGCAGTCCAAGAATAGGGAGAAAAGGAAGAAAGGGGAGAAAGAGAAAGGAGAGAACGAAAGGGGGAAAAAGAAGGGAAGAGGGAGGGAAGGAAGGAGAGAAAGAAAGGAGAGAAAGAGAGAGGGAAGGTTGGCCACAGCAACATGTGGTGGGTAAAGCTAGTTATAAAATAAATGTATCTTGATTCCAAACAGAAACTGAAAATGTTGCTGCTGTTTACAAATTGAAACCAAAAAGACAGTGTATGTACAAGCAAAACATTTCAGTGTTAGACAAGAGGGACCTTGGTATCCACTGGGGTTTTGTTACAGGACTCCCATGGATACTAAAATCTGTGGTTCTTCAAATGTCATTATATATAATTGCATAGTAAAATGGTGTCCTTTATACAAAATGACAAAATCAAGGTTTGCTTTTGGGTTTCCCCCCCCCCCCCAAAATATTTTCAAGCCATTTATAGTTGAATATGTGATACAGAATCCATGGATATGRAGAGCCGACTGTAACTATAAGTTTGTTAAAGTGTACAAGTGAATACAGAACACAAATGAATAATTTCCTTACTTCTGTTGCCATGTGAACCACTCCAGAATGTACACACAGTGAGTAACAGGCATATGCAGTAGTAAATAAACACCTAAAGAGAGCCAAATAGCTTTTAGAGTGAACTGAAACTTCCCAAGATTTGTTGAGATTGAGTTTCACAATGTCAGATTTGATAAATTGTTCCATTTTGGTAGCTTCATATTGGGAGTTAGTTGCACAGTACATGTATGGTTTATGAAGAGGGAATTGTAAGTGGTGTCAATGACAATTTAAATTCACGAATCCGTAAGTGGGAAGGTGTAAATGTGTCACATGGAATATATACATCTGGTAGTATGTATATCAGATCATATGCTTTTACTCAATGCACATGTTTCTATGTTAATGAATACGAATTTGGATTCTTTATTTTAAACTAGGTTTGAAAAAATGTGTGATTTTTCAAATGTTCTTGACTTACAGCTCCTATCTAGCAGCATAGCTAATGGTCAGATCTGCAATCTGACAGCTGTAGAACTGCACATTCCTCATCTACATTTAAAACTATGTACTGAATAGATGCAGGGAAAGGACACCATAACAGACTGAAACAGTGTTGTGGGATAATTAGTTCACATGGAGTAATCTTACAGATCTAGCTACCAAACTCTGTAGGGTCCAACACTTCCCAAGTATGTATATTTTGTTTAAATAATTTGTGCCAAATGTCTTAAATGTTTAGGACCAAACTACAAGGAATAGTAAGTGGCCTTCATGTCACAAGTCACCATAGAGCTTGAGCAGAACTGGACCCAAAGCACACAGAACACTTTCCTTCTGTGCCACTCTGATTTTCCTCCCAAACTGCGTGCATGCAAAGTTGTTATTTGTATTGGGAAGGAAATTTCACATTTGTCAATAAGGGAAGGGGAGAACCATGCAGTGTTTAAACCACACATTTAATATCTAAAGAAATCTAGTCCTTTGAAGCCCAATCTTAGAAATGTAAGTATCTCATAAGGGCAGATGGATGTATAAGCAAAACATTTCCAGGTTTGATCCATACTGGAAGTTTAACTTATGTTGTCACATTACCTTTTTTTAAAAGGACCAAGCTCGGGGAAGAGTATATTCTGCAAATCTGTAGAAAAAGCAAGTTGTTTGTTGTGCTAATTTGCCAACTGCTAATTGGCTCTTGTTTGTAACATCTTGAAGCCGACTGGATAAGTTTGCAACATTAAAAAAAGATGTTTATAACTATCTTACATCAGTTGCTTAGTTACACATTCATAACAAAGTAACATTGTCCTAGTTTGACTCTCTTCCAAACCAACTTAATCGCCAATAGCCCCATCCTATAAAAGATCTGTGCTCAGCTGGAAATTGGGACAGAAAGAGGAGGATGTTTCTAGCCGCTTCCTGCTTGTGAGTGAGGCAGCAATGAGGAGTTGCAGCAGGCCTCCTCCTCATTGCCACTGCCTCATTTCCTGGCTGCAAACATCCTCCTCCTTGCACCCAATGAAAGGCTGAACAGGCAGTTGATCAATCCAGCTGCTGGCTTTAAGTCGGACTGAGGGGCATTTATAATTGTGGAAACAGTGCTACAGTTATACATAAGTTTTAGTGACTAGCTGCTCCAATATTCAAAAAGCATTTGATTTTGGATGCTAAGCAAGGTAAGCCCTGTCTAGTACTTGGATTGGAGGTGGACAGTAATGGGAATGCCCTCATTGCACCTCATTAACCGCCATGCACTTGTTTTGTAAGAATAGAGGGGGAAACTGGCCCCTGGGGGTCATAGGCAGTCCATGAGCCACACTTTGTGACTTTAGGGCATGGGGTGTGGGTGAGTATCACAAAGGTCTTGGCCCTCAAGTAAGAACCCTGCCCTCCTGACAAACTTTCCATTCATCCTCTAGCATTGTACAGGATTGGTTGCAATGGGTCAGAAATATTTTTTTGCATTTTTTCAAAGTTTTCACATAAGCAACATTGCTTAGTTTATTCCCTTTATCTGAAAATAAAAAGTATTCCACGTTTCATCAAAAAATGGTGCAACTATGCATTGGGAAAGCCTTCCCTAATATGAGACAAAATGTACAAGCCATTTCAATTATTTCAGGGGCCAAACTAGACAGGTCACAGTTTGTGGAATTAACATGTAGATTAATAGGATTGTGTGTGGGGGGGGGAGGGGGGGAGATGGAGCCAGAGTAAGCATTTCACATGGAACTTAAGAGAACTGACATCAGCTGGGCTCCCAACAAAGCGAAGGGGCCAGATATTCTCTTATATATGAGAAACAGCACCCCACACAGCCGTCTTCAACTAATGCCATTTATTTAAAAATACCCTGGAACACAGAGAAAGATCTGACTTTAAAGAAACTTCAAGTTAACTGAATAGACCCAGTTCTGTCTTTATCTCTGAGGAGAGGATGCAAATCCAACTCTTTCTTCCAACTTTCTTTTTCTGTTGGATGGGAGTCATGAGTGTGGTTAGTATGAAGTACATGGATATGGAAATTGGAGGATGCCAATGAAGTGAAGCCTAGCTAAGTTACACATTAGTGATTTCCAGAATACGGTGAAGGTATTTCAGATAAGCTTAAGGCTGGTTATCACAACAATGAGAAGTTATTATTTTCTGTTCTCTTCAAAGCTTTGTGTCCAGTGGGATGGGCCCCATTCACCTCATCCCTGACCCATTCAACATATTCCCTACCCTGGGCCAATTTGTCAAGAATCTTATCAGATAAATAACTGTCATTCACGACCCTTATAGTGGCAAATCCAAATAAATCACAGATCTATTTTTTGCTACGTGTGTCAACAGACAGCTCTGGCCTGATGAATTAGTCTTCAGACCTCCACTGAAGTTCCTTTACATCAAACCGACTCAAGACACAATTTAGACAGTAATTATAATTTGAGCCATTGTTCAACTCTCAAACTATGGCTTGGTAATTAAGTTTAATTTATTAAGTGTTATGTCTTGGGATCACTTATGTAGCCACTATCAGTCTGCATATCCACATCTTCAGATGTAGTGTTATTTTGCAAATTTATTTTTTAAATTGGGAAAAAAACATGGTTGTTATGGAATGGTGGTCAAGGATCCAAATTTTAAAGGGGAAGTTACCCCGTGCCCATAATTATGCCTGCTCTTAGTAGATATGTATACAACTGTATTGTATCATATTAGTTACACTGCAGCTTATTATAATTATGCTGAGGTATCTTAGTTCATTTACCAATGGAACAGATGAGTTGAAAACTCTAAGTAAACTTATAAAAGTGACTCTGGCCATCTACAACACAACAAAGTTTTGCCATACACAAGTCTCTACAGATGAACAGAAAGTGTACCTGAACATTAGAGGAAATGTACATTCAACTTTCAGTTTTGTAAACAAAATCCTGCTGAAGGCACGGAATCAAAATTAAAAATTTATTTTTATTTCCTAGAAATCACAAGAAAATCTTGGAGAGAATATGGGGGAAGGCACTAAAAAAATCAACATTTTGAGTTACATGGGAAGATACAAACTGAGGGAGACCATTCCAATGCTAACTTTAAAAATGTTCTAAAAGGGGTGCCAGGAAAAAGAGATTGTTGGAGATAGGTTCACTACTTAGATTTTCTCCAAGGAAGCAGTCCAGCAGCAGAGTGACATGTGGTAACAGGGAAAACAACATGCTCCTAGGTGATCATTCATGCACCTAGCAATACCTGCAAAGATATCCACTGGGGTAATTGCCACCAAATTCATACATTGGGTGTATCCCCAGTCTTCTGACCTATTACTCTTCATAAGTGTCTACCTGAGAAATTAGGATCACTTAGATATTTTTTTTAAAAAACCCTGTGTGTGATCAAAGAGAAAAAGTAGTAAAAAAGAAACTATTCAAGAAGTTAAAATAAGGGGATATATATTTACTTCGTGAACAGTGACACTGAAATATGCTCTATATCATCATAACTGATACATGTGTTTATGTAAGCACACTCTTGGAAAAGTACCCAGAGATTACTCTTAATAAAAATGGCAGTCCACATAGCTGGCCACTAGGCAATTTGAGCATCTGTCCTGAGCACTGTAAAGTGAGGTACTGGCCCTGTAGTTATGGGATGATCCCCGCCCTCTTCCTAGTTCAGATGTCCTTTTGCCTGTGTGTTGATAAGGAACTGCCATGGAATCCCAGGCCACAATCCCAGGAGCTTGGAAGAAGAAGCCTGGGAAACTAAAACATCTCTAGAATGTCTCACAGTCAACATGGTTTCCAAACTCTGGGTCAAACATACAAACTCCAATCATCCCGTCAGTTCCAAACGTCGAGCAAGCAACAGAAACGGTTTTTGAAAATGAATCATGCTTTGGGCTGCTGTGAATATTCCAGGCTCTATGGCCGTGTTCCAGAAGCATTCTCTCCTGAAGTTTTGCCCACATCTATGGCAGGCATCCTCAGAGATTGTGAGGTCTGTTGGAAACTAGGCAAGTGATGTGTATATATCTGTGGGAGAAAGAACTCTTGTCTTTTTGAGGCAAGTGTAAATGTTGCAAAAGGCCACTTTGATTAGCATTGAATGGCCTTGCAGCTTCAAAGCCTAGCTGCTTCCTGCCTGGGAAAATCCTTTGTTGGGAGGTATTAGCTTGCCCTGATTGATTCCTGACTGGAATTCCCCTGTTTTTTTTAAGAGTTGTTCTTTATTTTAGAGTTTACACAGAGAAGCATTTGAAATCCATAAGCATGTGGACAATTTCAAAAGAAAGGAGGAAAGCATGAAAATGAACAAAATCTGGCTACCAGTATTTTAAAAACCTCCAAAATCAGAACAGTAAATAAAGAACAACACTCAAAAAGTAGGGGGATTCCAGAAAAGAAACAATCAGGGACAGCTAATCACCTCCCAACAAAGGATTCCCCCAGACGGTAACCAGCCAGGCTTTGCTAATCAAGATGACCAATTGCAACATTCACACTTGCCTCAAACAGACTAGAGTTCTTCATCCCACCTGGACATTCCACAGATATATAAACCCCACTTGCCTAGTTTCCAACAGACCTCACAACCTCTGAGGATGCCTGCCATAGATGTGGGTGAAATGTCAGGAGAGTATCCTTCTGGAATATGGCCATACAGCCTGAAAAACGCACAGCAACCCAATGATTCTGGCCATGAAAGCCTTCAACAACACATTAATCATGCTTTTTTCCTTTTCTTTCCAAAGAAACCCATCCACCTGGCAGATATAAATACTGCAAGATCAAATTATGTTCGTGGTGTTACTGTCGTGTACAGGAGCTAGCAAATTGGGAGAATATGGAACAAAAACAGTGAGCAGTAAAAATGAACTGAGGCTTCATTGCTGTGTTACATGTTACTGATCCGTATACCTCCTCAACTCAAAAGGTTTCAAGTATTTGCTGCCTTTTATTGTTGATCTGTATCCCAGGTGGATGAGGGTCAATTGTTTGTGAGCAGCTATAGAGACAGGTTTGGCTTCTTGAAGTGCAAAAAGAAAAAAAAGGGGTTAAACAATTCTGTCCAATTGAATGAAAAACAACTCTTTGATATGAATGTTCTTAAATCATTTTCTTTATGACTTTATGATATGCTTAAAAGCATAGCTTTTTCCTTCACTGTTGCTAAAGAAGCTGTAGCCCTTTAGCAAAAGACTGTTACAATTGGAAGTTTTTATAGTCTTTCAAATCATAATAGAAAGATCCATTTTGGACACAATTCTAAATATTAGTTCAATACCACAGGAACTGCTGTTGATGAACCTCAGATACACCATACCCATGAGGAAGAGATGTCAGCTGAGTTTAAACTTTGCCATGTTGGTGTTCATTTCCTCTAAATCAGTGGTTCTCAATCCTTTAGCCTTCAACTCCCAGAAATCCTAACAACTGGTAAACTGGCTGGGATTTCTGGGAGTTGTAGGCCAAAACACCTGGGGACCCACAGGTTGAGAACCACTTCTTTAAACAAATAATACATTTCCCCAAATTGTGGAGCTAGAATATGGAGCATATGCTGTGCAAGTATGAAGTGTCCGAGTAGATCCTCAGTATTTTCAACTTGAAGTACTTAGCAAGAAAATCTAGAAAAGAAGTGCTTGAACAAGATTGGCCACGTGATGCTGAACTGGTTACTCGCCTTAATAATAACTCAGTTCCTTACATTTAAAATAAGTAGAATATTTGTTCTGTCAGATTTTTTTGTACCATGTTTATAAGGCCATTATTATCAATCTCTCTAACCTAGTAAGAAGGGGATCTTAATGTGCAAAAACATTTCTTTCCTGTAGAGTGTTCACTAACCAAAAGAACCTCTACAGAATGCAAGAAAGATGGTTAAGAGTATATGTGTGTGCGTGTGCATGTGAATCCAATGGCAACAATTCTCAGTGTTCTACCATCTTGTCCTCTGAGAAAAAACAACCTTCTAGCATTGTTTGCAATCACCATCTTCTGTCTAGTAGAATTCTTCATGGGTTTCTTTGTTAGGAAGTTCTATTGTTGGTTCTATCAACTGATCCTGCCGGCGGCCCATCCAACAATGATTGTTCCTTGTGTGCTTTCTGGAAGAAGAGAATAATTTATTTTATTTTTAAAAATAATCAGCATTTCTATCTCTTTGGACTACTGCTTCTTAAGCTATGGGTCCCCTTAGTTCAATGTTGGGGTTCCGAAACCTGGCTGTTTTAGACATGAATCTGTTGTGCAGTGTTTGCAGTGGACTCTCAGAAGATACTTCAGGTGTACTTCACAAAAAGGAAAATTAGCCTGTCTAGCAAGCCTTGTAAATGCTGGTTTGTAACCAGAAAATGTTTGATTTTATACCTATTTTATATACCTATATACCCAGAGTCATGTAAAAATTTCTCAGGCCAAAAGGGGTCCCAAGTGGAAGCATTTAAGAAGCTGTTTTAGACAATGGCTGGCATCCTCTTAGGGAGTTACAATGGTATAAATAAACATTACACATTGTAAAGCATTTGTTTGGCTGTTCTCATGGTTAGAGTTCTTCGCTGACTGTGAAACAACCAAAGTCTCATCCCTCCTTGGCCATTTCCTGGTCAATGGATAGTGATGGGAGTGACATAACCGTACCTGGCTATTTTCCTGTATCTGAATGCATAGCAATAGCCACCATCCTTGCCTATTGCTGTGCAGAGCAATAGACATCATCCTTGGGGATCCCTGAGGAACACCTGGGATTCTTCAGGGGCCCCCAATGATGATGTCATTGCTACTGGGCAAACCTGTTTTGTGACAATCAAATCATGATTCTGGGGATGTTGTGAAGAGAGGTCCATGAGGGAGAAAAGATACAAAACAAAGAGTTATCTCTGAGAGAACGCGGGTGGAGAAAGATGACTTAGAAACAGAGGAAACATTGTAGGGGCGAGATTGGGGTTAGGGAAAAAGATGGCCTAGAGATAGGGAAAAGTTTGCAGAAAGAGAGGCTAAAACAAGAGACAGCAGTTTGAGCTCTGGCAATGACACTAGAGGCCAGGATTCAATTCCCCACTCAGCAATGGAAATCCAATGAATGTCCTTTGGCAAGTCATGAGTCACACACTTAGGGTCCTTCCTCACAGCCCTATAACCCATAATATCAAAGCAAAATAACCCACAATATCTGCTTTGAGCTGGGTTATTTGAGTCCACGCTGCCAAATATCCTAGTTCAAAGCAGATAATATGGGATTTTATTTAGCTGTGTAAAGGGGCCTGAGTTGTGGAAAACTCAGTGATAAGTTCACCTTCAAGTCATGATAAGTTGAAAACAACTTAAAGGCATACAGCATAAAGGGGAAATCTGGTCTAGCGAATAGCTGGAATCGACATATGAAAGTCAGGCAGCGGGAATAACTGAATGGGAAGCTCTGGATGATTAAATAGTTAACTGGATTCAAATGTGATCTAACAATGCATTAATATACTCTTCCTTGTTCCTGTTAAGTTTTGATAGAAGGTCTGGTTGTGCTTACCACAGTGAACCCACTGAACAATGAATCTACTGGTCAGTATAGAACGGTGGTTCTTAACCTGTGCATCCCCAGGTATTTTGGCCCACAGTTCCCAGAAATCCCATCCAGTTTACCAGTTGTTAGGATTTCTGGGAATTGAAGGCCAAAACATCTGGTTGAGAACCACTGCTATAGAAGGAACATTTTGAGGCCCAAATTCCCAATCTGAGGGAGGATCTTAAGGGTCAAGGGTGAGGATAGGGGCTCAAGGGTTTGGAAATGAGGGGCCAATCCAGAGACAGGATCCATTACACAATCTCTTTCATATGGACTTTGAAATCAGGAAGAAAAGAAATGACTAGGAATTGTATCTGCTGTTTATTCCTTTTCCATTATTGCAAAGATGTGAATTGTCCACAAGATGGCAGAATTTTCCTGTTTAAGGGAATCATTCCACGAACCAGCTTGACTTGAGGAAACATTTCAAGTTAACTTCAATCAATAACCTATAAAGGGAGAGTTGTACAATACAGGTTTATCACATTTGAATAATTATTGAATATAAAGATATCCTAACATTGTGTTAACAACATAGCTTTGTAGAATTGCATTTAATACTTACTGTTTGGCCAGTTTAATAGATATCTGCTCTAGGGAGCATCCTTTTGTCTCAGGTATAAACATGATGACGAAAGCTAAGGATGCCAGGCTCATTACGGCATAAATGAAATATATCCATGGTAGGCCAATTAGGTCTATGGAATAAAACAAAACACCAGTTAGTGTCAGAAGCTTGATAGTTGCTGCTCCTAGGCCAAAAAGGTTGCGATTGCCACAATACAACTACAGTTTATTGGAAATAATCAGAAGGTTCCACAAGTTTTGTCCTTAAAGTAAATGTATTTATGAGCATACACATATACAAGTGAGTGGATTCACCCTCCCACTGAAACAAAAGCTATCAATAACTGCTGCCCTATAGATTAAAGGATTCTAAGAAACACAAATGACTGAAATAACATTAAGACTGGTTCAGTTTAATGTTAGCAGGTTCTCCTGAAAGTATCTTGCCAACAGATTGTTATCTAAGGAAGCACCCTAGAGGCAAGTTTTGTGGTTATTATTGTTTTTATTCCACCTGAGTGCTAAAAATAACATGGCAGAGATATCTAAGCTATGAGTGTACTGGGACCTTACATGCTGAGCGCTTTCCAGATTCTTGGAATTCTGTTCATACACTACCAGCACCTGGATTTATTTCTTTTTTATAATTTGAATATAAGCCACTAGCAAAAAGGTCCACATTATGCTCACCCAGAGCCCTTCTATCCTTACCTGTTGTAGTCAAAAACGTTGATGAAATTAGTAGATTAACACCCCAGTTCATGCTGGAGGTTAGAGACATTGCTCTTCCTCTGATCCCACCTGGAAATATTTCACTTAATACCAACCACGACACTGCAATTCAAGCATAAACATTTAATATGTCAATTAAAAATGGTCTAGTCCAGCTTCACATGCTTCTAGACTGAACTCATGACTTTGGTTGAGTTGCTTACTACAGTATGGGTGCTGGAACCGACAGAGGAGATGTGGGGATCATGGCCAGCCTCAACCCTTCCGGTGAGATGTTTTTGTGGAGTGTGGATAAGCAAAATCGTGGATATTGAGTTTATGGATAAGTGGGCTGTGCTGTATATAATGTAATTGGGACATTTAAATATTTTTGTATTCACAGGGAGCTACCTGGATGCCAACCCTAGTGTTTATCAAGTGCCTACTATATGCAGAAACTAAGACTCTCCAATGAGAACGATTACATTTACTAGAAATGTACACGAAAATTGGTCATGTATCCTAATGCAACCCTATACAGATAGTCTCCAAGTTATGAAATAGATAGGTTGTGTATGTTTGTTCTTAAGCTGAATTTGTATATAAGTCAGAACAGGTACATTTTTAAGGTGTAACTCCAGTCAGTCAGTCAGTCAGTCAGTCAGTCAGTCAGTCAGTCAGTCAGTCTATCTATCTATCTATCTATCTATCTATCTATCTATCTATCTATCTATCTATCTATCTATCTTTTTAGCTAGCTAGCTAGCTAGCTTTGAATAGTATAGGGAAGGGTTAATAACCCTGTGGTGTTTGTTTTATTGTTTGTGCTCCTGTTAAGAATATTTTCCCTCACTTTCTGTCCCTGTGATTATTGGATTTTGAAAAATTTAGCTTGTTGTGGAAACAAGGATGGGTGCTAAAGCTTCCATTGAGACACATTTTCCCCATGATAACTCTTTCATGAGTGAATTTCCCTTCTGAGGGGTAGATTTCTCTCACTTCCTATTATCTGTTCTTAACTATGAACTGTTTGTAAATTTGATGTTTGTAACTCGGGGATTGCCTGCAGTACATTTCCTAGAATTATGTTCCATTACTATACTTCCGAATAAACATACATTGGAATATGCTACTAATGCAGTTTACCACTTTCAGACTACAATTCCCATTACTCTTGGCCACCACAAGCCAGGGACAAAGTTGTAGTGCTAAACAGCTGGAAGGATTGGAGAAGGTTGTGTCCAGGTGTAAAAACAAAATTATACATTTTGGTAGTGAAAAACTCTACTATCTTACAGAATATGCTTTATAAAAACACAGCTACAGGAAGATAGATCACCACCACCGCACTTGTGGAAGCTTCTTTATCAGTGTCTTCTTCCACTGTTAAAAATGCCTTTTTCCCTTCCAGCAAGCAACCACAGCAACCCAAAAGGATCTTTCCTCTTGAGCAATGCCTGTAAGCAGACACCAGCTTTCCATAATAAACATTTTGCAGGTGAAAATTCCATTCTCCAGCTCTCTGCTCAACAAGACCATCTGAATTTTGACAGCTGGCATAGTACACAGCTTTCCATCTCCATTAACTAACACATTTCTGGAGAAGATAAAGCTAACACCTGCCCACTCACTGCCCTTTATGTATGACATTCCAATGTTTGACTGCCAGTATCCAACTGTAATGGCAGCATTTAGTGCTGCAGTTCATCCTGGATTACATATTCAACATATCAATACTTTGCCCAGTCAAATGTGAATCAAGACTATGCTTTGACAAAATGTATCATAATACCATCTTCAGGAGAACACTGAGGGAACACTATGTTATTGTGATTAATAAATAAAACAGTTTAATTTGCTGGTCTGATGAACAAACCTAGCTCTGTTCCAGCTGTTTCATGCAGCTGTCTGGCTTTCATCTAAGGGTCCTTCCACACAGCCATATAACCCAGAATATCAAGGCAGAAAATCCAACAATGTCTGCTTTGAACTGGGTTATCAGAGTCCACACTGCCATACATTCCAGCTCAAAGCAGAAAATGTGGGGTTTTATTCAGTTATGTGGAAGTGGCCTAAGAATCACAGAACACAATCATTGAGGCTCCTTCCACACAGCTGAATAACATCCCACATTTTCTGCTTTGAACTGGAATATATGGCAACGTGGACTCAGATAATCCAGTTCAAAGCAGATATTGTGGGATTTTCTGCCTTGATATTCTGAGTTATATGGCTGTGTGGATGGGCCCAGAGTTGCAAGAGACCACAATGGCCAGCCAGCACATTCCCTGCCGTGCAGGAACACCCAATCAAAGTACTCCTGACAGATAGCCATCTAGCCTTGTCAAACTCCATCACACTGCACACCTTCCATCTTGTCAATATGTTTCTTGGGCTGTTAGTTTGATAACTAGACACAGTAATTCAGAGGAGGTCTGACTAAAGCAGGACAGAGTGGTATTATTGCTTCCCTTGATTCAGGTCTTACATGCCTTTGAGATACTTTCCAATCAGGGCTATAGAAAGTGTACTTCTCTATGACCTTGGAGGACTACCTCCAAAATAGCCACAGAGCCAGGACTAAACTTATCTGACAAAGCCTTTATCAGTTAGTTATCTCACTGAGAAGGAGGAAATACATGTAACTTCCTGAATATATATCTGAAGCATCCATTAAAATTATTTAAAAATATTAGATGTTGCTAAGTTTTCTATGAGTCTGCAGTATTAATAGTACAGGAAAGAATTTATACTCTTTCTTGACTTTTCTTCTCTGCCTAGTACTTAGAGCAGAAAACATGCTTAAGGCAGTTTTTTTCTCCCAAAGTTCAAAGTACAGTACTGGAAATTATTTTTCAGAAGTTTCAAAGGTACAATTGTGGTCAAAAACAGATTAGCCATACTTACAGTTTAGAAATGAATGAGGAAAGGAATATCAAAGCCTCTGAAGGAAATGAAGTATTAAGAAGTGGCACCAGCTAAGGGATGATAAGGAAGGGGATTATCCCCTAAGTAATGAGGGCAGAATGTTTTAAAGAGCAGAAAGGGGAGACTGCCAAAATCATAGAATATGTTTTCAAAGGGAAGATTAATCAATAGATTAAAGAATAGAATCAAAAAGTGGAAAACTGCTCTAGAAAGAAGGAGCTCAAAAACTGCAATCAACAACTAGGCAGAGGTACTAATCCTGCCCCAGAAAGGCCTGTCCATTGTGTAATTCAACACAACGGACAGAGGAGGTTTTACCATTAAGCAGGGTGGGGCTATTGCCTTTGAAATTGTAAGCCAGAAGTGGCACCCACACCATTATTTCTCTTGAGCCCCTGGCATTCCTCTCCCTTAGGTAACAGAACTGTGTGTGCTTCACAGCTCGATTTGCAACCCTTAAAATGGCCTGCTACCTTCAATATGGTGGTGAAGCCATTTCCGATGAGGAAGAAGCTGCCAATTCCAGGTGGTTTCTGTTAAAAAAAATGAAGGATGTATGGGGTGGTCATCTCCTCCTTTACCTCTGGCAGTATTATGACTGGGCCAAGGCCTTGTCACAACCCAAGGCTTGATGAACACACACATCTAATGGGATGGAAATGGTATGGGAAAGATCTGTACTGCCTGAAAGCCCACCCCAGTGCCAACCCTTTAAACAACCACTATCAATGCAGCCTAGAACTGTTTCATCAGTCAAAAGAAGTGGTGACAGGAAGAACCACCCATTGGTGTCAGGAAAACCACACTGCCAGGAAGACTCACCTATGACTTCTCTTTTTGTTGCTAGAATACACTACATGGGAGAAAAGAGACCGGTTGAGCATACTCTGGCTTCCTGTTTTGTGGGCCAGAAAAGGTGTACAGCAGACTATGATGAAACAAAGGTGCTTCCTTACTTAAGAAACAGGCTTAGAATTGGCAGATCCACATTAAAAACTCTAGCCCATGGCAGATGAAAGCAACCAAAGTTTGTTTGGTTAATTATTCATAGGCAGCAGTGGGGTATATTGGGAAACAATTGGCTGTCACGACTCCATGGCATTTCAACTGAGTGGAAAAAGCATGTGAGCAGACTTATATTATCAGTTACATTGTTGATATGTGTCTTCAACTCATTTCTGGCCTATGACAACCCTAAGGGAGGCTTTTCTTGGCAAGATGTATTCAGAAGATGTTTGCTATTGCTTTCCCCTGAGGCTAAGAGAGTGTGGGTCTCATGTCAAACAGGGATTCAAACCCTGATCTCCACAGTTGTGGTCCAGTGCTCAAACCATCATACCATGGTGGCCAGTTACATGTTCTCCAACATTTCACATATGAAATCCTGGACATATGTGGCAAAGCAATATGAGAGGTTAGTCAAAATGGCAAAAGTTATAACAAGGGGCCCTTCCACACAACCCTATATCCCAGAATATCAACACAGAAAATCCCACAATATCTGCTTTGAACTGGGTTATCTGAGTCCACACTCAAATAATGTGGGATTTCCTGCCTTGATATTCTGGGATATAGGGTTGTGGAAAGGCCCTAGGAGAGACTGCAGCAGATCGATCTTGCTTGAGTCTACAGAAAAGGGAAAGATTCAGCCCCCTCCTTTCCTTTCCAAAATTATGAGATGAATGAAAATATAGTTTGCATGAACTGAAATAAACTGACGACAAAGGGTGTAAGTGTGACAAGAAAACAGTTGAAAAGGTGGGATGAAAGATCATTTTGTCCCTGTCAAATCATAACAGCTGGAAGGCAATAATAATAATAATAATAATAATAATAATAATAATAATAATAATAATAAATTTATAGCCCGCCCTATCTCCCTGAGGGGACTCAGGATGGCTTCCAACATAATAAAAGCAAACATTCAATACCTTAAAAAAAAGTAAAATTTATAAAAAAAGTAATATATATATATATACAACAAACAATAAAATACATTACACAAGTTAAAACAAGTAATTTAAATAATAACAATTAAATGATCAACATTTAAACCATTAAAAGCCAGGTAAGATAGCATATCAAATCCATTTCCTAGACATGCTGTTAGTACTGTTGGAGCTAGCCATGACAATATAGACATGACACTTCATCAAACTAGAGAATTAATCCACTTTAAATCCGGTTTCTGCCTCCTGCAGAATTCTGGGGTTTGTAGTTTAGTTGGACTGTTAAGGGCTCTTCCCTAAACTACAAACCCCAGAATTTTGCAGGCAGCAGCTACTGGATTTAAAGTGGATTCATCAGCTTGGTACATTGCATTTGGGCATTTAGAAGCAGAAGCACAATTTTAAGTTTGAAAGTGGCGCTTGTTTTAAAAAAGAAAGGGAATGTGACCAAGTGGATTAGAAATTGGAGTGGGTGGGGGTGACAAATCCTAATGTTCTGTGGGTCTGACTCATGGTAACTGAGCATCTGAAGCTGGCAGTACAGCCACCATAATGTACATGAGAAGTGAAGTTTGTAATGGTTCCTTTTCATAACCTCGAGGCAAGTCTATTCTTGTTTGGTCCTCAATTATCTTGCTGAGGTACTTGCAGTACTTTCTAGACATTGTTCACCTGAACACAGGGAAACATTCTGCTTGCGATGGGCATAAGTCATCTTGGGCAGGACATTTCTCTCAAAAGCACGGGTGTAAACACAAGGCAATCTACTGGAATGTCTTTGTGCTACTGTATTATTGATCACATCTGATTTCCTAAAGTCTCCGAGCAAAAGAAAGAGGAAAACAAAAAACAACGTAAACTAGCAAAGCTTCTGTGTGTGGAGTAATAAACAGCTCTTGAAATGTTGCCAAGAGTGGATGGTTGCCTCCCTTGTTGCAGTACCTGTACTGGCTACATTGCTACGAAGCAGAGCTTGGTAATGTTACTTCCAGTGATAAAGGGGGCTTGGAGGAATATATTCACATTTTTGAGAGGGCTAAAACCACTTTTGGCCCTTTGTGCCCCCCAAATTGTCCACTGCCTATCTTAGGGGCTCTATATTTTACTATAGGCTGAATACTGTTTTCACAGACACCTAGAAACCTATGGAACTAACATATCTACCCTGACTAGGTAAAAGCAGCTTCACTTTTTTGTACACAGGCGTAATTAAGAACAGTATGTGGTGGAGGTTCCTTCTTTGGAGAATTTTAAACAGAGGCTGGATGGCCATCTGCCAGGGATGCTTTGAATGCAATTTTCCTGCCTCTTGGCAGGGGGTTGGACTGGATGGCCCATGAGGTCCCAACTCTATGATTCTATGATCTAGATTTATCAGGGCTTGTACTGTTTGCTTTTTTTTAAAAACAACAACAACAATACATTAGGACAATGTGTCAATCTGTTCAAATTACAATGCATTGGTAACATGTTGCCTTTTCACTTGAAAAAGTCACACTTAATGTATCTATAAGTGAATTTGTACATATAGTATATAATTACTGCAAATTATTTCTGCTATATTTTAAAACAGAAAAATGCCCCCAAGAACCCAACTGTTTGCTAAAATAAGCATGTTGTATAAGCAATGAGTAAATATTACTTGCTACATTGAAACAATAGGCTCTTGTGTAACATTTTAGACTCACATAACAAGCAATGTCATATTTGGGATTGTTGTTAAGCCATTTAGGTGTTACAGTATTTATTTATTACAGCATTTTGCCAGCTAATTTTTAACAGTGTAACTCAAAAATTACAAAACAGTATTAGAAAGTACGGGGAATTTTATAGGATATGGAGGTATGAAAAAAGCACTTTATCTCCTTCAAAACATTTTGTAGGATTTAAGTATGTATGTATGTATGTATGTATGTAATATCCCACTTTTCTCTCAGGACAGACATGAAAGTGGTTCATCCATGATCTACTCATCAGGAGTGATTTCAGATAATATCAACATAAATATCCACTCCGATGTTTTATCTTTAGAATATTCCACTATCTTATTGATTGCAAAAGGTCAACCCTCCTGTTCAAGGAGCTCCATTGGCTGCCATTCATTTTCCGGTCCCAATTCAAGGTGCAGGTGTTTACCTACTAAGCCCTAAACGGTTTGGGACCCGCCTACCTTCGTGACCGCATCTCTGTATATGAACTCACACGATCACTCCGTTCATCTGGAGAGACCCTCCTCACGATCTCTCCTGCGTTGCAAGCGCGTTTGGTGGGGACGAGGGACAGGGCCTTCTCTGTGGTAGCCCCCCGACTCTGGAACTCTCTCCCCAAGGACATCAGACAAGCCCCAATGTTGGGAGTCTTTAGGAAGAGCTTGAAGTCCTGTCTGTTTCAGTGTGCCTTTCCAGAATAGGAAACTCCCAGAATCATATCCCAAATGCACTTTATTAGAGATTTAAGACTGCCGGCACATCGCACCTACCCAAAAATCCTTACATTTACCTGTCATGTCCAGCACTTTTAATTTTTATTCATTACATTTGGCCCGGCCCTAGTTTTAACTGTGTCATGATGTTATTGTTTAATGTTTATTGTTATTGCTTAATGTTTATTGGTTTGCTTGAGTTTTATTGTGTACTTGTTATGAGGGCCTTGGCCTTTGTAAGCCGCACCGAGTCCTTTGGGAGATGTTAGCAGGTACAAATAAAGTTAATAAATAAATAAATAAATAAATAAATAAATAAATAATACCTTGAATTTATCCCGCAAATTAGTGCCACAATGGAGGGCCCTTCCACACAGCCATATGACCCAGAATATCTAGGTAGATAATCCACAATATCTGCTTTGAACTGGGTTATCTGAGTCCACACTGATATATAATCCAGTTCAATGTGGATTTTATACAGCTGTGTGGAAGGGGGCTGAGAATGCCATGCCTTATGAACTCACCAACCCAGTCTCTGAGAGTAAAGGAACATGCAATAGGACCTCCACTGAAAATCTCCAATTTCAAACAGGGTCATCTCCAGTTTTATCTCTTCTATAAATTCCCCACAGGCTAGGGGTATAAAGGCATATTCATTTCTACTTGCTTCTCCCAAAAGGAGGACTCAAGACGACTAATAACATATTTAAAACAACAAACTCAAAACAATACAAACCATTAATAAAAGTATAAAGTGTAAAAAGATTAAAATGTTTATAAAATTACAATATTAAACATTAACATTAAAATGTATTACAATCCTATGTACAAATGTTAAAAACATCACTGTACAGCATTAAAAGGCAGTTTTTAAAATCCTTCCTAACTTACTAACAAATCACTTACTTAATAGTACATGGTTCGTTCTTTTTTTTAAAAAAAACAACTTTGCTTTTAAATGCATTTTAACTGTACCCTCAACTCGCTTCTGACATGATAAATAATAAATGGTACAGTCCATTGAAACCAAATGTGTGTACTTCTGTGCAAAAGTGAAAGTGCTATTTGTGTAATGGAGAGCATTTTTAACTGTCCACTAGCTATTTTTTTTGATGTACCTCATATGATAAAGATCAGGTGCCTTCAAGTTCTGAAGAATACGGCAAATCAGTTGCAGTTTGTATAAAACTGGACCAGACTTCCCTCAGTTGGCTGACAAGACAAAATTGTCCCATCACATTGTCAAGGACATATGAGTAAAGCTTTATTTTGCAAGGTTTTGGATTTTCTCTCATTTCAGTGACATCGGTCTGTGTGTCTTACACTCAAAGTTATTTAGCAATTAAAATTGAAATAAAGAGGAGAAAAATATGAGACACTTACTTGGTCCAAGTCCTATGGAGAAAGCAGCCACATAAACAAGCAATCCAGCCAAAGACAGCCATTTCAGAGCAGATCGAACTTTCAAAGCTTCTGTTTTCAGCTGGGATTCTGCTTGGCTTGTGGGATAAACTGTGGTTTCTTCCAAGATTGTTCTGTTCTGCACCACTGCATTTGCCATTTCAGCCTTCCACTGTGGACTTTTGGTATAAGAAGCCATGCCAGCAAATTGCTTCTTCAGAGTTTCATTTGTGGATATGACTTTTTCTAATCCCAGGAAAGTGGAATTTCCCAAAGACTGGTTTTTACAAACAGTTGTTGCATTCATATGTATATTAAGCACTATGAAGCCCATGGTGACTAATGACACAGACATGAGGGATGAGCCAATACAGAGGAATGTTTTGCTTCCTATACGGTCCACAAAAAGGGTGGCAGGGATTGTACTGATCACTTTAACTGCTCCAACACCAGTAGAAGCCAAGGTGGCTGCCTCATTGCTATGGAACCCAACTGATTTCAAAACAGTAGATGCATAAAATAAGATATTGGGTTGTCCTGTAGTTTGTACAAAAAACACTAGGGTAATGCCAATCAGCATCCGAGCCCTCATGTTGTCTTTTGAACGGAACAGATCCAAGAAACTATACTGGCGCTCATCCTTCAAGGAAGATTTGATAACAGCAAGTTCTTCAGTAGTGTCTGATGTTGCCCTGAGCTTTCCAAGTACTTGGCTAGCAGCTTCATCAAAACCTTTCATAACCAGGAACCGTGGACTGGGCAGAAGGAAATATAAAGCAATGGCCTGAACGATCCCCAGTGGAATGACAAGGCTGAACATGTATTTCCAGCCATGGTTTACACTGGCAAAGGCATAGTTGGAAACATAGGCAAAAAGAATACCTAATACGATCATCAGTTCATTCAAGGACACAAGCAAGCCTCTTCGATGCGGAGGAGCGATCTCTGCAATATACACACATGTTGCAGTTGAAGAAAGTGAAATGGAAACCCCTATCGCAATCCGTCCTACTATAAGGAATCCATATGAGGCAAAGAGTATCAAGATCAGACTGCCCAGCACAAGTAAACAAGATGATAACATGATGGTAACTCGGCGTCCATATTTGTCTATGAGGATGCCACCGGTTAATGAAGCTAGGAAGGCACCAATGAGAAGAGAACTGACAACCATCTCCTGTTGTTGGCATGAAAGTGCTAATATGCTTTTCAGCTGAAGAACAGCTCCAGAGATAACTCCTATTTCATATCCCATCAAAAAACCACTGAGAGCAGCAATAGCAGATGACAGAAGTGTAAGCATTCCACAGCCTGGAATTAAAAAATAGAGAAACATTGTTTTATTTCTGCATCATCACAAAACATACATCCTACAGGCCTCTTCAAAATGCTAACAGGTTAAAATAACAACAACAACAACAAAATGGCTGTACTTTAGGTAAAAATGGAGACAGTCTCTGCCATCTGCATTATCTACATTCAACAATTCTGTTAGTATTTATTTGCTCTGTAGTGCCAGTTTTGAATTAGGAAGTAAATTAAACAAAAGTAGAAGAAAGATGGTCAAGTTGTGTTAATATAGAAACTTCCTACTCTAAAGGAAGAATGTTTCCTTCCTCATTCTTATCCCATACTCCCATAGGTATATTAATTACAATTCTAATTTAATAGACATATTAATCATAGTTTTAATCCTTTTTGCCAGATGTTTTTCATTGCCACTTTGATGTCTTTAGTTTTAGATACACAGGTTTTCATTATTTAGGATTGAAAGATAGACCAGAATCAGCCGAGCTTGACTAGGACCTGCTAGGGCACTAAGCTCAATCAAATTTAAGATCTGATTAACAACTGTTGATATTAATCTGCTTAATCCTTAATTACATTTGCTCAATGAATTACCATTGCCATGTCTTGTGCTGAAAAATTCCGAAGTTGATCAAGCATTGTTACATAATGCTGGCTTCTTTACAAGCTCCATTTGAAATCAGGACTATGAGCTTTCACTTATCAGCAATCTCTGGCTTTCTGATTATTAATTAAATCACCTATCACCTAATATTGTAATGACACCACCATCAAGCATAGAAAACATGAACAAAGCCCATGATGGTGACGTAGTGGAGAGCATATTGCCATTTTATTTTTCATTAGACAGAGTAAACACTGCCTTCAATAGCTGCACATCCTGTTTATTATCACAACACAGAAGCAACTGCTCACATTCTGCTTCCAGTGCACCCTTTTGTACGGCAACCATTGCTGGATAATATTTGTTTACTATTATCAGGTTCCCTTTTTTAATTAACATGAGTGTTGGCGGTCAAACATGCTTATTCTGTGGATGTAAAGAAAACGACAATGTATTTTAGCAGCAGAAACCCCTTCATTCATATGGTGCTGGGGAAAATCCCCAGTTTTCTGGATCATTTCTTATCCCCATCTTAATCTACATAAAGTGGATTTTTCTTAGCAGTGATTATCTTCTCTCAGACACTTAAAATGTTTCTGCTTATAGGACTGTTGTATGGTTTCTGGGCTGTATGGCCGTCTTCTAGCAGCATTCTCTCCTGACGTTTCACCTGCATCTGTGACTGGCATCTTCAGAGGATCTGATGGTGGTAAAGCAAGTGGAGAATATATACATGTGGAATGTCCAGGGTGTGAGAAAGAACCAATGTCTATTAACCAAGTGTGAAGAGTGCAATTAGCAAGTCTGGTTTGAAAGTTGAGTGGGATCTACCTATTAGCATATGAGTAACTGAGGAGACTGCAAAGTCAATAGTGAGGACATCTGCCTGGAAGTAGCCAGGCCCATGTTCTTGGAGTGTTTATTGCCTGGTGGCATCCTTTGTTTGGGTGGTGTTCACTGGCCCTTGATTACTTGCTGCCTAGGGGCTACCTGTGTCTGGATGGTGTTCATTAGTTACTGTCTGATTGTGGTGTTTCTCAATAAGGGTAGCCAGACTTTGTTCATTTTCATGGTTTCTTCCTTTCTGTTGAAATTATCCATGTGCTTGTGGATTTCAGTGGCTTCTCTGTGTGGTCTGACAAAGTGATTGCCAGAGTGGTCCAGAATTTCTGTGTTTTCAAAGAATATTCTGTGCCCAGCTTGGTTCATCACATGTTCTGCTATTACTGATTTTTCTGGCTGAAGTAGTCTGCAGTGCCTTTCATGTTCTTTGATTCGTGTATGGCCACTGTATTTGGTGGTCCCAAATGCTGACTTGTCCACAGCTGCACGGTATGCAATAAACTGTATTTGGTGGTCCCTATTTGTTCACTAACCCGAAACAGAAACTGGTGCATACCAGTTCATATTAAATAACTCAGTTAAGTTTTCCTCCTGGTTTTCCTCAATCACAGGTTGATTCTGATGATTGCCTTACTAGTGTGCTACTTTCAAATACTAGTTTATCCACCTAGAAAATGCCAGTTACATTCAGCCCCAACTAATGTGGCCAACAACACATGATTACATAGTCCAACAAAAAAAATGGTGTTGTAGTTTTTTTGTCCTGTTCCTGGGCTTATTTGGAGTGCTGATTCAAAAAATTGCACTGGATAGACTGCATCAGCTTTAGTTTCTTAGATATTATTATCATGGTTTTCTATGGGTGAGCAGATGGTGACTGGTAGATGGTATATATTCTGTATCTCAAAAACTAGAGCTGAAAGGAGGAAACTGGTGCCATTTTGGAAACGGCAGTTCAGATATATCCAAAAAGGTCTAGCATTTGAAGCACCAAAATGTGTGATGGACGGTAACTATAGTCAGATATTTGTGGAAAGTCAAAGATTCACATCCCTGCACCAGGAGTTCCCCTTTTGTCAGGTGACTTGTGACATGTAAGTCAGAAACAAAAATCCTTTATCTGGTAAATATGGCACTTACTTTTGCCAGTCATTCCAGCATAACTCATACTTTGCACAAAATGTCAAACCTCTCAAGCAATTTGACAGTTTGTAAGCCTTGAAGATAACTTGTACACAACACGGTGAACGTCTGATTTAATGAGACCAGAGGGGAGGAGCATGTCAGGAAACTGCCAAGCTGCCCAAAGGCATAAGACAAAAACATTTAACATTAGATTATCTTACCTGAGAGTAAAACTTACTGAACCTAATACTTACTTTTGAATAAATGTGTACAAAACTGATAGTTTCTGGGAAGCACCTAACAATGACTCTTGTTTTTGGTTTCTGGAAGGAAGTTTTCTCGTGTTTCAACTTATCTTTGCAAATTATTATGCCAGCAGCTATTCAACAAACATATAAGCCAAATCCTTTATCTTGCTTGATCAGCAAAGGGAGATTAATACATGTATCTCTTGTTACTGTAATCATGTATGGCAATCTTCAGTTGCTTCTTTCTAACACAAGCCCCCCTCCCCACCAGTCCTACCTTTCTGAGATCTTTGGGTGGATTCCTTGGAGAAAAAGCTGACACATTCTTCACATAAATAATGCAGCCTGCATGCCATTGGCGGCAGGCAAAGCAGAATCTCAGGTCTGCCCATATTTACGCACATTTAATGGAACATAAACCCAGAGTGCTAAGAATGTTTAAACAGTATGTCCTTTCTGAAATACAAGTCATGTGCAGTTGCAATCACGCTGCTTCTGTAAGTTGAAATCTAGAAAGATGGTGGATGAAAGCCAGCACTAACATAAGACAGAGTGGAATGGCCACCTCAGGCTTCAGCCTCTGAATGTTAAAAAAGAAAATGTATTTGTTTACTTTGTAATCATTGAATTTTACTAGCATACGTGGGAGAGATGTACATTAAGGATTATTTTGTTTCATGAGCAAAATAACTGGATAAAAGGTTCATTTACTCAGGCCACAAGGCTAGTTCAGAGCGCCAATACCCTGGACCAGCCCTGGGGGCAGCTACACGGCCTGTCTTCATCCTGCTGTGACAGCATGACAGCATGACCCTTACTAGAATCATAGAATCACAGAGTTGGAAGAGACCTTGTCAGTCATCCAGTCCAACCCCCTGCCAAGAAGAAGGAAAATCACATTCAAAGCACCCCCGACCCAACAGATGGTCTGTTTCACTTTTGTTTGCCGCCACCAGTGGCCAAAAAATTCTGGAGAGCTTCTGGCCATTCCTCAGCACTTTTGCTGATATCAGCAAAGATACCTACATGACGTGGAGAAAGGAGGAATGATTCCCCTCACGTCTCCAAGTCAAGTAGGCGCTCAACAAAGGCAGTGAGCAATGATCAGGAGTTCTCTGGAGCTGCACGGCTGCTGCTGCAAAACGAAGATCAACACAGCTAAGTGCTATTCTCTTTCCTCCATGCCATAGAGCACGGGGAAAGCAAGATGGCAGCACTGGCCCGTGTGAACATTGGGGCCAGTTCCTAATCGGAACTGACTCTGGACTGTTTCCCAACTTTTCTTAATGTGGGGCAAACCTGAGATGTGGGCTTGAATGCCCTGAGCATCATGTGGGTGCTCCGAAGTGACTTATCACTTAATTTTGAGTTTGTTGCCATTTTTTTTTTACCTTTGGTAATCCAAAATGATCCTGCTATGGGGGTTTTGAAGCCGGAAAGTGTGTAATTGATACAGGATCACTCAGTAGGTTTCCATGGTCGAGTGGTGAATCGAACCCTGACCTTTAAAACAGGGATAAGGAATGTGTGGTTCATTTGCATCCTTAGCCCAAACCTTCAGTGCTTCCATTGATAGCATTTCCACACTGGGCTTGGAGGAAAAGAACCATCCTCTTTGCCCATCCACCAGGAAGACATGCACAGGCAAAAGTGTATGCAGGTGTGGATGTGTAAGGAATGGGGGAAGAGGAAAGGGTGTGGCATTATTCCTCCTCGAGACTCAGTAAGAGACTCCAGAAGCAGCTACAAGATACTCAGACTTCACAAGTAAGGGGATTGTAAAGTACAACTCACACCACCACCACCACACCCATCCAGATACTAAAATGTAACTGTTTCCTTAGATATATCTACCTCTGGTGTAAGTTGTAACTTTACTGCTCATTCTAAGGTGCACCACACAGTTTTAATTGTAGTGAAATGGGAACAAGTTATTTACAGTAGATAGTTTCATCTTCAGAGTGCATCAAGGCTGACTTTATAGTGGCAAAATAATTTTTCTTTGCAAATACAATCCTGGATAATTTTTGCTGCTTTACAACTTATAATGAACTCTCCACAATGCGGCAAAATCTATATATCAATCTCTCGCTTCCCTCTGGCTGCAAATATATTGCTGACCTCTTCAATTATTTTTGTGTGCATAATGTATTTTTTTTCTAGTAGGCATATTTTGTACAATA